ATTCATGTTACTTCCCTGGCTTTTTCCGTGTGGGCTGGAAAGGTTTCCACCCATTTGGAATAGGTGCACACCATTATTAGAAGATAGTGTTAGCCACCACTCTTGGGTAGCTCAGTGAAATCTACCACCAGGTTTTCAAAAGGTACAGCTCCTACAGACAAGATGCCAGGAAGTGGTGAGGGACCCCATCATGGATTGTTTTTGTAAAAAGTTGCACATTGCTGGCTGGCTCTTTTTGTGAGTGTTAGGAAGAGTCGAGGGATATAAAAATACTTTCCCAGCAGCTGCTCTTTGGCCCCCGGTCCAAATGAATGTCTGAGTGAAAGTTGCTGATAAGGGAGGGGACTAGTAACCCAGAGATTACTATTCTTCTGTTGGGTAAGTGTTGCCACCCAGTTTTATCCTGCTTGGCCCCTTGTTGTTGTTGTTGTTTTTGTTGTTGCTCTATGCTGTGGAGTCGGACCCGTCTCATAGTCACGCTTTCTTGGGTTTCTAAGGCAGTTTCACTACAGAAGTAGATTGCCTCATCTTCCTTCCGAGAAGTGGCTGGTGGGTTTAAGCCATCAGCCTTCTGGTTAGCAGTCAAGTGCTCAGGCACTATGCTACCAGAGTTCCCCTTCTTGTTGTAGCCACTGTTTTTTTTTCTCTTGTGTATATGTTGGGCTGGCTTCTGACATCCAAGGGAGGAGAGGATGGTGGTAACGATTTCCATGGGTTCCATGGCTGCTTTTCGGCTTCTTGGTTAGCTTTCTGATTTCCTCCAGTCTTCTGTGTATTCTCTTTCTGGTTTCTATTACAATGTACTACTGCGACTTGAATAGGATCCCACACCGTATCCAGTAAATTAAGGATTTCAGCCTGGTGCGTTATTGCTTTTCCTCCTGAAGTCAATAACCTTTTCCTCTACTTCAACTTGGACCATGGGTTGTGGAGGGTGGGCAACTGGACTCAGTTTGTCTCAGTCCTCAAAGAATTCCATTTTGGTCATGCTGAATAGACCAGTTTCTTTTGGTAGTCTGGGTTTTTCTTTTTTATTATTTTGTTTCCAGTGTTCTCTCTCCTTGCAGTAGACAAATTGATCTCAGCCTAGGGGAGGCCTTCCCTCCCCACTGTTCCTGCATGCAGGTCTCTCATTTCTTCTTCTTCAGTTGTTAGATGGGCCCAGCCTAGTTTGGGTGAGTGTCAGTGCAATGAGGTCTGCCTTTTTCTTCATTTACCAGTCTACCTCACACTTTGTCTCCTGGTTTCAGTTTCTGAAGACTTTATTTGCTACTTCCAAAAGTTGGGTGGAGTTCATGCCCGTGAAACCTTCCAGATTTTGAAGTTTTGGTCAATATCTCCTGTGCTTTGGTTCACTAAGGCAGTGTTGACCATTTGTTGATTCTCTTGGCTCTCTGGGTTAAATGGGGTATAGAGTCTGTATGCTTCATAGAGCCTCTCTTAGAAAGTGCTGGGCCTTTCCCCTGTATCCTGTAGGACTTCAATCACCTTGTTAATGTCGATTGCTTTTTGACTGACTCTCTGCAACCCCTGCAGGAGGGTTTCCTGGTAAGTTTCCAAGTTCCAAAGGCCTTCCCTCTCATTCCCAATGTGGATCTTCATCTGGGAAGCATCTCTTGGCATACACCTGTGCATTCTTTACTCTTGCTGGAGCATTCTCCTCTGCCCACTGGACAGCAGCCAGCAATACTCATCTCTGTTCCTCAGTATCGAATAGCATGAGAAGCTGGCAGCAATCTGTCCAGGTGGGGTTATAGGCTTGGAAGATAGATTGCATGAGGTCTATTAGGGGGCTTCTAAGTGTATGGTGGGGTATGATGTTTCCAATTGAGGAGGTCATTGGTGGTGAATGATTGATAAACTAAGTTGCATTGTCCTCCTTGGACCTGGCCATCCAAGTCCATATAAGTGGGTTCCCTCATTTCTCAGAGAACCATTTGCATGGCTGAGGGAAGCAATGGGGTGTACAGACTGAGATGGGGTGGCCCAATGCGGGCCCTGGCTTGAGTTGCAGCCCCCAGGCTGATGGTAGAGGCTGAGGGAAGTGATGGGGTATATGAACTGAGGTAGGATGGGTCAATGCTGGCCACATTTGGAGTTGGCCCTGAGCTGTTGGTAGAGCCAGGAAGGAGTGGGGGTGGTGTCTGTGGCTGGAGGGTTTTTAAAGATGGGTATATTGGGGCATAAGGAGGGGATGCCAGCTCCTCCAGCACTTCCTGAAGAATGGGAGTCCTTGAGGGTTAAGGTAAAGCAGAAGGTGATGTTTAAACTTTCTTTTCCTCCTTTGGGTTGTGGCTCCAAGAAACCATCACCAGACTAATTAGCCCTTGGATCCATGGGGATAGGCTTGTGACCAACTGAAGCCATGTGTCTATGTAGGGGAATTGATCCAGATGACCGGGCTCACCAATTACCACCAGCCCGATTCTCATAACAGCTTTTTTATCCAGCATTCCCTCTGATGACCACTCAACCTAGAAAGTTGGTCACTTTAATTCACAAAGGATTCTAAGTTTCCCTGCCTGCAACTTTACTCCATAATCTTGTGCACCAAATCCCCTTTTAAAATTTTTTAACATGATCTGTAGTGGGGTTCCTTCTTGACTCTGAGCCCCCCCCTCCCCCCATTGCAACACAACATAGCCACTAGTAGCTTCGCTGAGCTCTTCCTGTTCCTCTCATGAGGATTTTTCAGGTACCTCTTAGCTTTTGTGAGTCAGTATAAGCCCCTTACCTGAAAGTCCTGCTGAGCTATCGGCCAGCTCATCTCCCTTAGTGGTATGAGGGTCACCACCAGTTAGGAGAGCAGCTCAGCACATGCTCCCAGCTTTCTGATCTCTTAATATGTCAGCCAGACACATTCACAGATACACACACATACACACACACACACACAGGCTCACCAGTACACATACCAGTCCCCAAAATTTTGTACTACCTGTGGGTGACTGTGGTGTCTCATCACCAAACTTGGATGATACTCAGATGGTGCTTTGGGAGTTGATCAAGTTCTCCTTCTGCCTACTGGCAGGCTGACTGACTGACTGTGGGGCCCCCCTGTAACCTACTGTGGTTCAGATGTCTGGAAGGTGGCCGTTCCTCCTCCTGTTAAGTCCTCGGAATCAGAGGTGGGGCTGGCTCTCACCCCAAAGTAAGTGACCCACATAATGTCAAATATTACACCAGTACACTCAGCAGGTCATTTCCCCACATCAAGGTCTGGCCTGGGCCACCAGCTTCCTGGGGTCAGCAATAGGCATGCTACCGGTCCCTCAAGTGACTGAGGAGGGTGAAACCAAGAAGGTTTCCTGGCCAATGCACCAGAAATGTTACTGGTGCCACCAAGGTAAACACTAACACTGAGCACTATGGTGAAAAAGAAAGGACTTTATTGTGCTAGCACCAGACTCAGTGGATTGATATCCAGGGACTGAGCCCTGAAAAAAGGCCGTGTGGTGCTTTTATACTTCTTGTTTCCAGGATTTATGGGATATGAGATCATTAGTTACTTTTGAAGGACACTAGATAGCATTTTCACAGAAGCAGAAGAAGCATGTGAAAAGAAGAAGTGGAGAGAGGGAGGGGGAGTACCAGTGGAGAAATTTTCCAGTCTCTTTTGTTTTACAGACTGAGTATGTTCTGCCTTAATCTGATGTCTTCACTGCTGCTTCCATTGGTGTTCATTGTAGAACCAAGTAATATCAAGTCCTTGACAATGTTGATCTTTTCTCCATTTATCCTGAAGCTGTTTAGCACCTATCCTAACTAGTTAAAAGTAATTTATATTAAAAAAATATTTATTAAATTATAATGAATTGAAGAGTTCAGAGAAAATTGAAACAAATAACATGTTAATTCAAAAGCATGCTTAATGTAGTTAGATGGAGGATCTTGTCTGTTTTGTTCATTACTGTATCCACAGACCCTAGTCTAGTTGGTGGATGAATACATATTTTACTCATTGAAGCCTAATGCAAGCTAGTGTATTATCTGTCTACTAAATCCAGTTCATGCAGTAGATCAAGTTTGTGGACAGGTTCATTATCATAAGTAAACCTTATTTCACTTAAAATTTGATAGCATCTGTACAACTAAATATACTGTTTAGACATATAGGGTGAACATTTACACCCAGTGTGTACACTCCTGGGAGCTCTGGTGGCTAATAAGAAAGCTGGAAGTGGAAATCCACCAGCCACCCCTCAGAAGGAAGATTGGGCAATCTACTTAGTAGAGATACCAGAAACCCAAGGAGTTGCTATGAGTCAGAAACTACTAGATAGTAGTGAGTTTGGTTTTGGTTTATTCCTAAGAACAATAAAGGAGTTCTGATGGCATAGTGCCTAGGGCGTTTTACTGAAAACCAGAAGGCTTTTGGTTGAAGCTCACCAGCCAGCCCTCGGAAGGAAGATTTGGCAATCTAATTCTGTAGTGATACTGCCTCAGAAACCCAAGGAGGGGTTGCTATGAGTCAGATCTGACTCGACAGCAGTGAGTAAGAACAATCTATCATGGGAGATCAGAAGGGCAATATGTGCACAGGGAGATAGCTCAGAGCACTGGAGTACATTGGACAGAAGGAGAGAGGGAAAAGGTAACCACGGGGGAAGCGGGAAGAGAGCTATTATATTGTGGGGATTGAAATCAATTTCATGAAACAAAATGTTCATGAACTGTTGTAGGTAAAGTGAATTGTCTGTAAGTTTTCACCCAAATCACAATTGGAAAAGAAAAAAAAAAAAAATATATATATATATGCTCTGGTAGCATAGTGCCAAAGGCACTTGAATGCTAACCAGAAGGCTGGCAGTTCAAACCCACCAGCCACTTCTTGGAAAGAAGGAGCTCCTTCCGTAGTGATACTGCCTTGGCAACCAAAGAAGGGGTCGCTATGAGTCAGGTCCAACTCGACGGCACATAACAACAACAATGTGTGTGTATATATATATATATATATATATATATATATAGTTTAATCTAAATTGTTTTCTTATTTTCAGGTATTTTTGGCTGAATACACAGGACCTCTGCTAATATACCTCCTGTTTTATTTGAGGATCCCATATATATATGATGTGAAAGAGAGTTCTAGGACATTACGACATCCAGTGGTACAGTAAGTGATACATATACTAGTAACAGTTGCCTTGAGTCAATTCCAACTCAAGACAGCTCCAAGTGTGTAAGAGGTCCATGGGGTTTTCATAATTGTGACCTTTTGAAAGATTATCAGATTTTTTCTGTAGGACCTCTAGGTGGACCTGAACTTCAAACCTGTCAGTTCTAATGTAGCCTGATACTTAACTGTTTTTGTCACCCAGGGACTCTAGTGATATATATAGCACTTATCTATTAAGGTAGAGAGGAACAAGTATCCAGATGTTAGATTATTACACTTTGTTTATAAGTCTCAATAAAGTCAGATTAATTTTAGTGGAAAAAATGGCATTTAAATAACCCAAACAGTGTATACATGAACTGTTTTCCAGTTTATATATAATGGACTCTTAATTATACTGCAAAGTAGAGGTAATTTAATAATGCTCCATTTTAATTCTAATACATCAACAACAACAACATATCAATAAGAAGAGAAATCTGGAAATTCAGAAATGTCATTAAAAGAAAAAAGAAATTATGAAGTTTAGACAATGTATACTACCTCCCCCGAAAAAATTATCTACAGATAAAGAAAACAATAAAGATGAACAGAACGATGACTTAAAGTGTAACAGTAAAAATATTTTTACAAGTTACCTTTAATAAGTCAAAATTTAAAATTTAAATTATACTGTGAATAAATTCTTGGAAGGAAGGTTGGGCAGTCCTACTTCCGTAGTGATACTGCCTCGGAAACCCAAGGAGGGGTCGCGATGAGTCGGGGCCGACTCGACGGCAAACAACAACAAAAACAACATGAATAAATTGATGGGGAAAAAGGATAAGTCAACTACCAAAACAGACTATATAACTATTATAGTTAGCATGTTGTGCATGTCATCTTTCTCTCTTTACCATCTTTCCCTACTCTCCTTGTTACTGTCCCTAAAGAAGGTATATCAAATAAAATAGTGTAATTAGAATATAGGATTACAATTTGGTTAAAAGAAAAAAATTCAGACCTTAACTAAATTCCTTTCATTGAAATCTCTTCCAAATGAATTAAAGAAATATAAATATTTATGTAATAGTAGTATTATAATAAAGTGAACAAACTTGGCCTTTCTCTGTGTGTGAAAACTTTCCTCTTTTTTTGGTCTCTGTAACTCATCAACACTGACCTGCTTTCTCATCCTCATACCTACCATATTTCCTTTGACACCAGGGCCTATGGACATGACATACCTCTTTCCTCACTTTTTTATTAAAAAAAAAAAAAAAAAAATCCACTCCCATCAAGGCAATTGCAATTCATAGTGACCCTGGATGACAGAATACAACTGCACCATGGGCTTTCCAGTGTTGTAATCTTTATGGAAGCAGACTGTCACATTGTTCTCCTGCAAAGGGGCTGATGGTGTTGAACTGCCAACCTTTTGTCAGCAGGCAAGCATTTTAACTAGTGAGCCACCAGGGCTTCTTTTGTTCTCTTTACCTCCTCATTATCTCCTATTCAAGCTTCCTTTATGGGTTCATCAATTTCTTACTCAATGTAAACTTTACTACTTTTCATTTTCAATAACAAAGATTTTGCTAAAATGTTTTTTCTTTATATGATTTACCATTGTTTAATTATATATAGATGTAAACATTCACTTGTCTTCACAATAAGGAAATAGTGAAGATTCTATAAATGGATGTATTTTGATCTCCAGTCTATCTTCATTGCTTAAAATATTACCTAACTAAGGGATACTCAATAAATGATGTGTTGAGTGAATAGATAGGTAAACCAAGTGCACAAATATATATTTCACATAGAATCCTATGAAAGCAAGAAAGAGAGCAACCTTACTTGATATGGGAGTTCTGAGAGGGCCTTGCTGTGAGAATGACAATAGAAGGTTTGTTTTTTTCATTTTATTTATTTATTTATTTATTTATTTATTTATTTATTTATTTATTTTTTGATGTGAGTCAGATTTTTACTTGTGAATTTGAGGAATCTTCATCTGTTGCAGAAAGCAGAAGTTTGGTGAATTTTAAGAGCAGAAAGAAAGCCAGTGCAGCAGAAGTCTAGAGAGGAAAGAGAGATTGGCTCTCAGGGATGGTGGTCAGGTCAGTGGAAGTTGAGTTTTCTCTGGACTTTAAAGACATTTAACTTCATTCTTTTTCTTAAATGAAGACGCTTTCCAATGAATCTTGGAAAAAGAGAAGTATGGGAAACTGGAAAGAAGAATCTAATAATACTAGTTTACTTGGATCAAATGCATAGCATTTACCAGAAATACAAAGCAGCATGAGGGTGAAAAAAACAATTTATTCAAAGTGATATTCTCAAAGGAATTGACTAGAAGTTGGTTACTGTTCTTAAACACAAATGCAGCATGTTTTATAACATCTCAGTTGATGAAAGTATTTGGTACACATTGTTCCAAAATAGCAAACATATCCAGTTTTTATTGATTCATTCTAGAGCAGAAACACACACACTATTTTTTGAAATGTAGGTGTCGAGTAGGGATTTATAGTGTAAGCACAGACTTCTAAGGGAACCCAACTTCAGAATGATGTGGCTTCACAAAGTTAAGAAGATTAAGTTTCAAATGTAATAGCCGGTTGTCACATATGCAATGTTAATTTCCCAATTGATTTGAAGTCTAGCATCAACTTAAAAGTAGTTTTCTCCTTATCTTAGATAGAAGGCACATTTCTCTGACAGAAAGCATGACACAGCCACACTTAGGAATCTCTGCATATTGTAACTAAGGCTGTATCTCCTTCAGAGTATCTGTCCCTACCATTTGCAGTGAAAAAAGTGGTCCTGCAGCCAGGTGTACCTCAGTAGTTCTTCTTTCACTCAACAAGAAGTAAGATTTAAGTTATTTTGTCTCCTCCCACAATAAGGATCAAGAATGAACTAGCACACTGGGACTGAGACCACAGTTTCTTTATGATTCATAAACTCACACTCAGGGATGGAAAGAAAAACAGTCCCAGGAATATTTTCTGCTCTCAGAACTCACTAATTGCCTGTCTGATTTGGATACAACTATACTAAACTTTTTGAATACTTTACCACTGTTTATATCTCATATCTCATGAATCTTGCCATGTTAGCTCATTCCCAATCTCTTATATGCTTATCTCTATAAACTCTACATTCTTCTACTTATTGCCTTCCCTTAGTTCTCCCAAACATCTAGAATCTTTCTAGTTTTTCTTCAACAATTCAAACATCACTATCAGCAAAACACCTCTATTTTCAATCTATTTTACATACATCTTCTTCATTGTCTTCATCAACAGAAACGTGGCACATTTTGTAAAAGGTCTCCTTGAAACTCTGTAAATGAGGTTGTGTTCTTTTCCCATAACCTTCATACATTAATCATTGCTTAAGAAAGGATAAACCTTTCTTATAAATGAAAAGGTAAAATTTCAAAAACTGCTAATCAAAAACTCAGAAGGAATCAGATTTTACATAGTAAATAAGAGGTGAGCATAAAAATCCACATTTAATTTACTATTTGTAACATATAAAGTCACTACTGGGAATTTATTTTATTAAAATGAATTGGTGATTTATTGAATTAGTAATAGTGATTTTATGGAAAAGTAACAAATAAACAAGCACAAAGAGATACAAACATACTTCTGCCTCAGAGTTAATTTAACCCTGGCCAGAAGAAAATGATTTTGAAGGAAAGTCACAGAGTTAAATAGAATGAAACTACTTTAGAATGAAATAAAACTTGGTTATTGGATTATTATTCATGTTCAAAGTGGCATATGTTCAATTAGTAAAGCTGTAGCTTCATATGGTATCTATATATAGTCTATATATAGATATAGTCTATAGGGAGAGTATATAGTCTCTATATTCCAATTAATGTTGCAGTGTAAAGTACATAAGTGACCTAATTTAGAGATACCATAGCTTCAATCATGTTTCTCATTTGGGCTCTGCTTTATGGTTGATCTTAGCCTATTCTTTTTCTTCCTTTCTTTTCTTTTCTTTTTTTTTGCTTCCTCAAATAATTGAACATTTTATTCCTCAAGTATTCATATAATTTCCACTACAAAAGAAACAACAGAAGAACATTGCAAATATTGAAGAAAAATGAAAAATAAAATATATTAATTAATTAAAATAAACAACGAAAGAGAAGAAATACTTATTTCCTCATTGGAAACACATTAGATAATTTTTTATTTCAGCAATTGTTCTGAAAATGTATGCAGGTTGTGTCTTATTTCCTAGAAAGTTCCTTCTCCAGATATCCCATTGCTTGGTCTCTTAACTTTTTCAGTATGTTCCCTATGGCTTACATCTATATCCATATCATACAGGACATATCTCTTACATAACCAGAAGGCTGGTAGTCCAAACCCACCAGTCACTCCTCAGAAGGAAGATTGGGCAATCTGTTTCCATAGTGATAACGCCTCAGAAACCCAAGGAGGGGTTGCTATGAGTAGAATTGTCTTGATGGCAGTGAGTTTTTTTTTTTAATCAATAATATTAAATGCACTGCAGACTTAACCAGGTTTCTTTGTGTTTGTTTACTTGATTTTTTGTTTTCTATACAGTCACTGTTACTCATACAAGAAATCACAAATCCATTTTGATAAAATAAACTCCCAATAGCAACTCAATGTTTGTATTTACAGAGTAAATTGCATGCTAATTTTTGTGCTCAACACATTGATTTAAGTTTGTAATATTTGATCCATGTTAAGTTTTTGGAAAAGTAAAGCTTTTGAAATTTTACATTTTTATTTATAACAAAATGAGTATAGGCATCGATACAAAATATATTATTTTAAATATAATCATGAAAGTATTTTTGTTGTTTTAGGTGCCATTGTACTGGTTCTGACTCATAGCAACCCTATGTACACCAGAATGAAACACTGCTCGGTCCTGGACCAGCCATACTAAAAATCGTTGAGGCCATCGTTGCAGCCACTGTGTCATTCTAACTCATTGAGGGCCTTCCCCTTTTGCACTGACACTCTACTTTACTAAACATGATATCCTTCTCCAGAGACTGAACCCATCTGAGTGTTTGACCAAAATACGTAAGACAAAGCCTGGCCATTATTGCTTCTAACGAGCATTGTGGCTGTACTTTTTCCAACACAAATTAATTCATTTTCTGGCATTCCATGGAATTTTCAGTGCCCTTTGCCAACACCACAATTCAAATGCATCAATTCTTATGCATTATGCAGTTTTCCTTATTCATTGTCCACGTTTCATACACAGCTATGCAGTCAATTTGACTCATAGCAAACTCTTTGGATTTCAGAGGTGATATCTCTACAGAAGTAGATTGAACACTCTTCAAATATCATGGTTGGGATCAGGCACACCTTATTCTTCAAAGGGATGTCTATGCTCTTTAACAGTTTAAAAAATTATTTTGTAGCATATTAGTTCATTGCAGTACTCATTGCAAAAAATCATCTGATTTTTTGACTGATGCTTCCAAAAGGTGTTGATTTTGAATCCTAGTAAAATGAAATCCCTGATAACATAAATATTCTTTCTATTTATAAATATGTTGCTTTATTTGTTCAGTTGTGAGGATTTTTGTGGAGGTGTAATCCATACTGAAGATAATAGTGTTTTTTCTATATCAGTAAATGCTTCAAATCTTCATTTTGCAACCAATATTCTGTCATCTACATATCACATTTCTTAATTTGTCTTCCTCCAATCCTGATGCCGCATTCTTCTTCACCACTTCTCTGTCCATTTGTGGTACTGTGGTGGCTGTGCTGTTGTAAGCTATGCCACCAATATTTCAAATACCAGGAGGATCATCAATGGTGGACAGGTTTCAGTGGAGCTTACAGATTAAGCCAGATAGGAAGAATGACATGGCAGTCCACTTGTGAAAAACTGGCCCCTAAAAACTTAGAAATACAAGTGAATCATGAAAATAAATCTGATTTGACAATTATTTTCTAAAAAATTAGTTATATAAAAATGGCAAGAAGCAGTGTATACTTAAAATTATAACAACAACAAGGAAAACACACACACATAAAGAGATAAAATATGTTAAGTAGGCAAAAATTAAATAAATAAAAGTAAAAAGTCACATTATGACTACATAGAAAATGAAATTCAGAATTTCTCAATATATGATACTTGCTAAAGGACAACCAGGCAATTCAAAAGTTATTGTGAATATTAGAAAATGTCAAATGCATTCTAAATTGGCTTTGCATATTTTTATAACATGTAAATTTTCAGCCTCAATCTTCAGCATTTTGATAGGAACACATTTGCAATTATTATATTTATATCTATTCTTGGGGCAGGTGCAAGCATAATGATTTAGGATTGGTATTATAAAATACTTTTTCTGCCATCAGAAGTAAATCACAAAGATTAGTGAAAAAGTTACTTTTATTATTAAATCATATTGGAAAAATTATAGAATACAAATATTGAAAAATACCTGTTTTTTGATTAATTAATTACATCCTGCTGAATATGATATTGCAGTAAACTAAAAAAAAAAATGTGTAAAGTCATATAAGTAACACAAGTTAAAATTTCAGAAGGAGGTTTAATGTATTTATGTTTTATATTCTTTTCAGCCTGGCCTGCTTTTGCCATTGTATACACTACATTCGATATCTTTTGGAAACCTTATTTGTTCACAAAGTTTCTGGAGGACACACACCTTTGAAGAATTTGATGAAGGTGGGGATTATGATTTATAATTTTAATTATTATTGAGACATTTTGCATATGGAATCATCTGCAGATGAGGCATCATATTTTTTTCTTCAAGCCTAGATTTTTTTCTTCGATTTGTCATCATATCTTTAACTATCTGGTATGTAAAGTCATTTTCTGTGTTACTTCTTTCATTGGAGGTACCCTTTATTAATTAAAAAAAAAAAAAAAAAAAAAAAAAAAACAGATGCCATCAAGTGAATGTGGACTCCTGGCAACCGTCTGTGTGTCAAAGGAGAGCTGTAGATATGTGTATGTGTGTGTGTGGATAGATAGATAGAGAGATAGATATAGATAAAGAGTTTTGGTGCTGCACTGGTTAAAGCATTTGGTTGCTAACCAAAAGGATGGCAGTTGGATGTCCCTAGGGAGCTCTGCTGGCATGGTACCTAAGACATTTGACCACTAACCAGAAGACTGGCAGTTCAAACCCACAAGCCACTCCTTGGAAGGAAGATTTGGACAATCTACTGGACAATGAATAGGGAAGACCGAAGAAGAGTTGATGCTTTTGAGTTGTGGTGCTGGCGAAGAATGCTGAAAGTACCATGGACTGCTAAAAGAACTAACAGATCTGTCCTGGAGGAAGTGCAGCCAGAATGCTCCTTGGAAGCAAGAATGGCCAGACTTCGTCTCACCTATTTTGGTCATGTTGTAAGAAGGGACCATTCCCTGGAGAAGGATGTCATGCTTGGTAGGGTGGAGGGTCGACGAAAGAGGGGGAGGCCTTCAACGAGATGGATTGATACAGTGGCTGCGATGATGGGCTCGAGTATAGCAGGGATTGTGGGGCTGGTGCGGGATCGGGCAGTGTTTCGTTCTGCTGTGCATGGGGTCGCTATGAGTCGGAAACGACTCGACGGCACTTAACAACAACAACAACAACTTCCGTAGAGATACCTACCACCTCAAAAACCCAAGAAGAAGTGGCTATGAATCAAATCAACTTGGCAGTAGAGAGTTCAGTTTATTTATTAGCTGCTCAATGGGAGAAGATTAGCAGTCTGCTTCACTAAAGATATGCAGCCTTGGAAAGCCTGTGGGGCAGTTCTACACTGTCTCATAGGGTTGTTCTGAATCAGAATCAGCTTGATAGTACTGGATTTTTTTTTTTTTTTTTTAATTTGGTACTTTTGTTGTAGTTGTTAGCTATAGTTGTTAGTTGCCATCATGTCAATTTTGACTCAGAGTGACAAAGTAGAAATACCTCATAGGGTTTTATAGTCTCAATGGCACCTAACAACAATACAACAAATCTTCACAGGAACAGATAGTCAAATATTACTCCTGTGGAATCACTGGGTGTTGGAAGGTTCAAGTATCCAGTCTTTAGTTTAGCTCAGCGGAGCTCTTAATTATTGCACCACCAGGACACTCTCTCATCTCTTTATATATATAAAAAGACATTTGACCGCTAACCAGAAGACTGGCAGTTCAAATCTACAAGCCACTCCTCAGAAGGAAGATTGGGCAACAATCTACATCTGTAGAGATACCTACCACTTCCAAAACCCAAGGAGAGGTGACTGTGAAGACTTAAGTGCACCTAATACACACACACACACACACATGTACATATACATATATGTGCATGTACATATATGTACATATACATACATAAATACGTGTTGTTGTTGTTAGGTGCTGTCGAGTCAGCTCCGACTCTTAGCTATGTTCTGCTGTTGTACCTGGCCCTGGGCCATATTCAGCATCCTTGCTATACCTGAGCCCATTGTTACAGCTACTGTGTCAATCCATTTCATTGAGAGCCTTCCCCTCTTCTGTTGATCCTCCTCTTTATGAAGCATGATATCCTTTTCCAGGGAATGGTACCTTCTGACAACATGACCAAAGTAGGTGAGATGAAGTCTGGCCATACTTGCTTCCAAGAAATATACCAGCTGTATTTCTTCCAGGACAGATTTGTTTGTTATTTTGACAGTCCATTTACTTTCAGTATTCTTCACCAACACCACAACTGAAAAGCATCAACTGTTCTTCAGTCTTTCTTGTTCATTGTCCACCTCTCACATGCATATGAGGCGACTGAAAATATCATGGCTTGGATTAGATGCATTTAAGTTTTCAAAGAAACATCTTTGTTCTTCGGCACTTGAAAGAGATATTTTGCAGCAGATTTTCCCAGTGCAATATGTCGACTGCTGCTTCAATTGCTGTTGATTGTAGAACCAAGTAATATGAAACCTTTATCAACTTCAATCTTTTCTCCATTTATTGTGATATTGCTTATTGGTCAAGTTGTGAGGATTTTGGTTTTCTTTATGTTTAGGTGTAATCCATACTGCGGACTGTAGTCTTTAATCTTCATCAATAAGTGTCTCTAGTTATATTCATTTTCAGCAAGCAAAGTGGTGTCATCTACATATCACAGGGTTTTAATGAGTCTCTCTTCAAACTTGATGCTACATTATTCTTCATATAGTCCAGCTTCTTGGATTATTTGTTCAGCATACAAGATTGAATAAGTATCATGAAAGGATGAAACCCTAACTCACTCTCTTCCTCATTTTAAACCATTCAGTATCCCCTTATTCTCTTTGAATGACAGCCTCCTGGTTTTTGTTCCGGTTTCTGATGAGGACAATCATGTGTCCTGGAATTCTCATTCTTCTTAATGTTATCCACAATTTGTTATGATCCCCAGAGTTGAATACTTTTGCATAGTCAATAAAATACAAGTGTTTTTTTCTTATACACTTTATTACATTTATTCACTATTTATTTATGATTTTATTATTTATATTATCAATATATTTTATGTATTATTTATATTATTATATTTATATAATATATATTATTTGTATATTATTCTTTATTGATTATACATTTTATTACATTTATCATATTTTATTATTAAATTATTAAATACGTCTTTCTGGTAGTCTCTGCTTTCAGCCAGGATCCATCTGACATCAACACAATTATATCCCTCATTGCACATCTTCTTCTGAATCTAGCTTGTATTTCAGGAAGATCTCTGTCAATATACTGCTGCAATCATTTTTAAATTATCTTCAGCAAGAATTTACTTGTGTGCAATAATAATGATGTTGTTCAATAATTTCCACCTCCTGTGGGATCACCTTTCTTTGGAATGGGCACAAATAGGGATCTTTTCCAGTAAGTTGGCCTGGTAGCTGTCTTCCAATTTTCTTGACATAGACAAGTGAGTGCCTCCAGCACAGCATCCATTTGTTGAATCATTTCAATGGCTCATCCATCAATTCCTTGAACCTTGTTTTTCACCAATTCTTTCAGTGCAGCTTCGACTTCTTCTTATAATACCATTGGTTCTGGATCATATGTCATCTCCTTAGATGGATGAACATCGACCAATTCTTTTTGATACAGTGACTCTGTGTACACATTCCATCTTCCTTTGATGTTCCCTGTATCATTCAATATTTTGCTCATAGTATCTTTCAATATTGTAACTCATTGCTTGAATTATTTCTTTAGTTCTTTCAGCTTGAATAATGCCAAGTATGTTCTTCCCTTTTGATTTTCTAACTGCACATCTTTGCACATTTCATTATAATAAATGATTTTGTTTTCTTGAGCTGCTCTTTGAAATCTTCTGTTCAGTTCTTTTATTTAGTCATTTCATTCATTTGCTTTAGCTATTTTCTGGCCAAGGGAAAGTTTCAGAGTCTCTTCTGACATGTATTTTGGTCTTTTCTTCCCTTCTTGTCTTCTATATGACCTTTTGCTTTCTTCATAGATGATGTTCTTATTGTCATCCTACAATTTCTTGGATTCCAGTTGGTTTCCAATGCATCAAATCTATCATTAAATTGTCTTTACATTCATGAGGGATATAATCAAGGTCATATTCTGGTTTTTGTGGACTTGTTTTAATTGTCTTCAACTTCAGCTTGAACTTTCATATGAGCAGTTGACAGTCTGTTCCACAGTCAGCTCCTAGCCTTTTTTACCTGAAGATATTGACTTTCTCTAGTACCTCTTTCCACCAATGTAGTCAATCTCATTCCTGTGTATGTCATCTGGTGAAGTCCATGTGTATAGCCACTGTTTATGTTGTTTAAAAATGGTATTTGCGATGAAAAAGTCATTGATCTTGCAAAATTCTATCATGAAATCTCCAGCATTATATCTATCACCAAGGCCATATTTTCCAACTACTGGTGATTCTTCTTTGTTTCCAACTTTTGCATTCAAATCACCAGTGATAATAAACACATCTTGTTTGCATGTTTGATCAATTTCAGACTCCAGAAGTTGGTAAAAATCTTCAATTTCCTCATCTTTGTCTTTGTTGGTTGGTGCATTAATTTGAATAATAGTCTTATTAACTGGTCTTCCTTGTACGTGTATGGATATTATCCTATCACTGATAGGATTGTACTTCAGGATAGATATTGAAGCATTCTTTTTGATGATGAATGTCATGCCATTCTTTTTCAATTTGTCATACCCAGCATGGTAGATTGTATAGTTGTCTGATTCAAAATGACCAAATCCAGTCTATTTTAGCTCAGTAATGATCTTTATGTGTTTCATATCATTTTTGACAATGTCGTATATTCCATGTTCTGATTATTAATGGATGTTTGCAGCTGTTTCTTCTCATTTTGAGTTGTGCCACATCAGCAATTGGAGGTCCTGAAAGGTTTACTCTATCCACATCATTAAGGTCAACTCTTCTCTGTGGAGTCAGTCCTTTCCTAGTTGCCTTCTGAGTACCTTTTGACCTGAAGGGCTCATCTTCCAGCACTGTATTAGGAAATGTTTCAGGGCTATTCATAAAATTTTCCAGTAATGTATCAGACAGTGTTTCATTGGTATTCATAAGGTTTCACTAGCCAATTCTTTGAGAAGTGGATGGCTCCTGCTTTATTCTGAGTCTGTCATAGTCTAGAAGCTCCACTGAAACCTGTCCAGCATGGGTAAACCTTCTGGTATTTGAAATACTGTAAGCATATCCTCCAGTGACACAGGAACACACAAATCACCACAGTAGAGTAAACTGACAAATGAGTGGTGGACATATATACACATATAAGGAAAAAAATAAAAAAAACTGCCATTGAGTTGTAGCAACCAGTCATTGGGTTTTTGAGACAGTGGGTATATGAAAGCAGATGACCCTGTCTTCCTTCTGAGGAGTGGCTCCTGTGTTTGAACCACCAGCTTTCTGGTTAGTGTTCAAATGTCTTAGCTATTATGCCACCAGAGCTTATATATCTATATCTATATCTATATATCTATCTGATTTATATCAAGGAAGTGGATAACACAGTTTTGGGGGATGTCACATCTGACTTCTATATAGACTGGAAATTTTTATCTAAGAGCTTCTTCAGTCTTCAGACATGATTTCCTTTTCTTCAGAGAAAACTCAGTTTTGTTTTAAGGTTTTTTTTAAGTCAATGGATGTGGCTTACACTACATTATAGAGAATTATCATCTTAATTAAGTTCAACTAATTCTAGATGATAATAAAATCTACTAAATACCTTAAAAGGAATATTTTGATTAGTGTCATATTATACTCTAGTCAAGTTGATACATAAAAGTAATCATCACAATACCCTTACCATAATCAACCAGGTTTGTGGCAAATAACTTGTCTAAAAATTTCAACAAGACATCAATTTTATTATTGTCATGCTGTTGTTGTTGTTATGTGCCATCAAGTCGGCCCCAACTCATAGCGACCCCTCCTTGGGTTTCCGAGGCAGCATCACTACAGAAGTAGGATTGCCCAACCTTCCTTCCAAGGAGTGGCTGGTGGGTTTGAACCGCCAGCCTTCTGGTTAGCAGTCAAGTGCTTTAGCCACTGTGCTACCAGAGCTCCTTATTATTGTCATGGTAATAAAATATTCCCTCAAGTTGCAATATTGAGAAATTCTATGGGTAAAATATTGAATGATGCAGGAAACATCAAGAGAAGATAGCATGAATACATAGTCACTGTTCCAAAAAGAACTGGTTGATCTTCATCCATTTCAGGAAGTGGTATATGATCTAAAACCAATGGTACTGAAGGAGGAAGTCAAAGTTGCAATGACTGAATAGGCAAAGAATAAGGCTCTGGGAACAGATGGAATACCAACTGAGTTATTTCAACAAACGGATGCCCCATTGGAAGCACTTAATTGGTTATGCTAAGAGATTTGGAAGACAGCTGCCTGGACAAAGACTGGAAGGGATCCACACTTGTACCCATTCCAAAGAAAGGTGATCCCACTGAATGTGGAACTTATAGAACAATATCATCAATATCGCACACAAGTAAGATCTTACTGAAGATAATTCAAAAACAGTTGCAGCAGTATATTGACAGAGAACTTCCAGAGGTGTAAGCTGGATTCAGAAGAGGATGTGGAACAAGGGATATCATAGCTGTTGTCAGATGGATCTTGGCTCAAGGCAAAGAATATCAGAAAGATGTTTACTTGTATTTTACTGACTATGCAAAAGCATTTGATTGTGTGGATCATGACAAATTATGGATAACATTGAGAAGAATGGGAATTTCTGAATACTTGATTGTACTCATGAGGAAACTGTACCTTGACCAGGAAACTGTCGTTTGAATGGAACAAGGGGACAATACATGGTTTAAAATCAAGAAGGGAGTGTGTCAGGGTTGAATCCTTTCCCCACACTCATTCAATCTATATGCTGAGCAAATAATCTGAGAACCTGGACTATATGAAGAAAAACGTGGCACCAGGATTGGAGGAAGAATCATCAACAACCTGAGATACGCAGATGATACAACTTTGCTTGCTGAAAGTGAGGATCACTTGAGTCACTTACTGATGAAAATTGAAGAATACAGTCTGCAGTATGGATTACATCTCAATAGAAAGAAAACAAAAATCCTCACAACTGGACCAATGAGCAGCATCACAATAAATGTGGAGAAGATTGAGATTGTCAAAGAATTCACCTTGCTTGGTTCTACAATCGATGCCAAAGGAAGCAGCAGTCAGGACATTAGATAACGTGTAGCATTGGAAAGGTCAACCGTGAAGGAATTGTTTCAAGTGTTGAGGAGCAAGGATGTTTCCTTGAGGACTAAGGTGCTCCTGACACAAGCCATGATAATTCCAATCGCTTCCTATGCATGTGAGAGCTGGACAATGAATAAGGAAGACTGAAGAAGAGTTGATGCTTTTGAGTTGTGGTGTGGGCAAAGAATGCTGAAAGTACCATGGATTGCTAAAAGAACTAACATATCTGTCCTGGAAGAAGTGTACCTGAAATGCTCCTTGGAAGCTAGAATGGCCAGACTTCATCTCACCTATTTTGGTCATGTTGTCAAAGGGGACCATTCCCTGGAGAAGGATGTCATGCTAGGTAGGGTGGAGGGTCAATGAAAGAGGAGGAGACCTTCAATGAGATGGATTGACACGTTGGCTGTGATGATAGGCTCAAGTATAGCAGGGATCATGGAGCTGGCGCGGGATCGGACAGTGTTTTGTTCTGCTCTGCATGGGGTCGCTATGAGTTGGAAACGACTCAGTGGCACCTAATAACAACAACAGCAACAAGAAATAGAAGAGATCATTTTGACCACTTTCTTTTTTGACATAAAATATTAAAGTTATTATGTCAGTGCCAGGTGAGGGTTACAACCTAGGACTCTTAAAATCAGACTAGTTTCCTTTCTAATCAAGCAATATGTGTTATAACTAATAGATAAATCATTCATTTTTACTCATATACCATTGAAAAAGGAAAATTAGCATATAATAAAAAATGAAAATTATTATATATTATCAATTATATAATTTATGTATTTTTATTACTGCATTCATGTTTTTTGCTTGACACAAAAAAATCATGAAAATACATACATTTCTAAATATATATTTTTATAACAATTTCTTTCTAAAATATATCGTTACACTTACCTGACCTCTTGATCACCCATTTACATAAGAATTAGTCAAATTAATACATATCTTTTGTGATATCAAAAAAATATTTTTATAATGCTTATTTACTGAGTGAAATAGAAGCAGTCTATTCATCCAGCCTAGAAAGAATTACACTATTTTGCATACAAGAATACTGCAGTGATAGTGAATGAGTAGTTATGTCATTTTGAAATAATGTCATTTTAATACACTTGTTACAACTTTTCATTTTTGTTTTATTTGTAGACTTGTTCCTTTTATTGGGGATTCACTTCTTGGATGGCCTACTACATTAATCACCCACAATATACACCACCATGTATGTAGAATTTTTTCTTTTCTTAAATAACCCCATAGCAAATTACCAGTATAAAAACTCTCTTCTAAGCTACATACAAATGATATAAAGAAAAACAGAATATAGTTTGGGGATTAAGTAAATAATGAAAAAAATGTCAATTTTAAATTGCTTTCACATGTTATCCCACTAAATTATTATGTAAAGCTAACAGAACACATTTGAGTAACAAATGTCAGTTTATTTTCTCTTTTTAGAAACTCTAGAAAAAATATTAGGTCATAATAAATCTCTAAAAAAACAAGCAGTGAAAGAGCAAAGAAAGATAATAATCCCGTATAATCACATAATAATCAATTATCAGATATCTGAACAGTAAAAAAATATTAATTATACTTTTAAATGCAATTTATTGTATAGTATAAAAGTGACTTTTCTGTGACATAATACTTTATTGCAATTCAATTTATTAAATGCCTTAGCCTTTGACTCTGACGTGGTACATTTGATGGAAAGAACAGTAGATCACACCTAATTCCTCACATCCTAATCACAGGGACAAAATTAAAAACAAATGAAACAAACAAAAACAAAAACAAAAAAAAAAAAACCAGAGAAAGTGATATTCTGCTCAGAAAATTCCTTTTTTTTTTTTCTTGTTTTTAACTTCAGTATGGATCTCTCTCTGCTCCTTTTTTTTTTTTTTTAACTGAAGCCCATTAAGCTCATATAGCACACCCTCATGCTACACATATTGAGGTTTTAAATTTATTTGGCAATGTTCTTCAGGTTCTATATCTGGTGTTTATAAAATTTAGATGTATGGAATCGAATGGTGTATTTAAGCTTTAAATTTTGTACATAGTTGAAACTTGCTTGAATATGGAGAATTACACCTGTCAGGCCTATGCTAATGCCCAAAGTCTCGATTTGCATGTTAAGAGTAACTGATGGTAATGTTTGAAATTCTAGTTCTTCAAAAATTAGAGAAATAATCACTATAAATATTAAATGAAAAAAAGTCCCAATCTAAAATAACTGGAATATTTTTCATTCTTTAGAACTTTAACAGATAAGCATCATTTGTTCTAAATCATACTCAAGAAACCTCCAAAAAGTGCAACATACAAGTCTGATTAAAAAAAAAAAAATAGATTTTTTTTCTTCTTTCTATAAACATATAAGGATACAACTTTCAGTTCACAACATAGCATTAAGACTAATGGATCAGCTGCAAATTACCTTACAGTTTATATCATCTAAGAGAAGAAACGGAAATAAGAGCAAGGGAAGATGTGACAGCTAAAACACTACATGGGTGAAGAAGGCATGTAATAAATTAGCTTTGACCTAAATTTGATTAGGATGTCTAAAGTTTCAAACAGTGTGCTAAGCAATTTACAAATTTCATATCATTTAACACTTGTGAAAATTACACTACTAGCAACCTATTTTACAAATGAAGAAATTCATTTTTAGAAAATGCGGACAATCTTTTTAAGTTCACTCAGCAGATAGCTTGACAGATGCTCTTTTGCAATTTAGACACAAATGGCAATAATTTGAGCAAGAAGCCATCCAACCCACAGTCACACAGATGGATAAGTATGTTCCGGATAGATATTTTCATGGAGCCACAAAAGAGAACACACCAACTTAACCTTCAGTTTTGATCTAAGTAAAAGAAGTGTATATTTTTCAAATTGATAGTGACTTGGCCTAAGAAAATAAAACTGCAACACTGGCAAATAGCAGGATACATGAAATTTATCATTTATAATCCCTTGGAATTTTCCTTTTTACTGTTATTTTTGCTTTACTAAAAATGTTTTCCCTAGTATTTTTATTTCTCCATAAATCTTTAAAATAGTGTCTCTTCCCTTTTTGGAACTCCTTTATTAGAATACGTAGGTTAAGTAGTATACTTTTTAAATATTGATCATATATTGGATCATAACAATTCAGTGCACGACAGCAAAAGCAGAAAAAGTACAAACTACATGTACATGAGATTAAGTAAATTTTAAAACCCCAGTTTAAACCACAAATAAAAATAAATATATAGAATCAGGTTTTATTTTTACCAATCTAAATGTCAAATGCTATAAAAGCTAGATGAATTTATAAAAAGTATAGAAAATTGGAATCATATTTATAGTTGCTTCCTAGAAATTTTGTTTAAATTTATAATTCCCATGAGATTTTTTTGAATGATATGTTAAAAAATATTATAAATTATACCCTTTGGACCTAGTATCTAATTTTACTGCATCATTATTTATTCTTATTGATGAAGAAAACAAGACATTTTCACTGTTATGCTGCCTTTAATAAACTGAGCTCCATTTTTCTCTGTGTTAATGCAAATTCATTCTTTGTATCAGAACTCCATCATGTACTCAGATTTTCCCAGATAGCATGAAATTATCCTTTTTCACATTCCTTGTACATTGTACATTAAAAAAAAAGTGGTTGAAACAATTCTGACTCATAGTGACCCAATATGTCACAGACTAGAACTGCTCCACAGAGTTTTTTAGCTATTATCTTTAAAGAAGTATATGGCCAAAACTCTTCTGAAGCACAATTCGGTGAGTTTGAACAGGCTTTTGGTTAGTAAGTGGTTGAGCACTCTTGTGTCACTCCGGTACCATAAGTCATACTTTAGTACTATACAAGTCCTTGTTATTAATACTTCACAAGTTTACATTTTTTATCATGAGGTTAATATTTGTTTCCCCAAAGGAATGTAATTCTCTTAAGGTAAGAGTTACATTTAACATCGTTTAGATTTTCCCACATGCACATAGTGTGGAGGCTATAAGAAAACTTCCTAATAAATATTGCTGAATGAATGAAATTATATTTAGTAGTAGGCACAGGAAAAAGATTTTGGTAGATCCAGATGAATATCACCTAATTATTATCACATAAATAAAGACCAATTGTGAATTGTATGCCAAAATACATAAATTATAGTATTCAAGAAAAAAATGATTATGGAATTATTGAATTAAATAGTGTAAAAAATATATAATCAAGTATGTACATGCTCAAAGTAATGCATAAGAACTTTAAAAATATTTCTCTGAATCTTATATAAATTAATTTTCCCTTTACACTTTATTTCTCAAATTTTCGTTATTGATGCATTTTATTTTTATTGTTAGATATATCCATTTAAAAAAAATAAAACTTCCAATATATGGTATTCCAATATATGGTAAGCAGTTTGTATGTATTGTATGCATGAATATTTAAATACCATATATCCTTCAATTAAATTATATTTCTAAATTTCTAGGCCAAAGAAACAGAATTTTAGGAAGAGGTTTATATAGAAAGATATTCAATGCTGCATTATATATATACCATCAATAAAATTATAATGACTTTCATTATGACAACTGGATATCTGATGTTGAAATAAATAACCAATAATGTATTATAATGTAAACACTTTCATAGTTTTGACAATAAAAGTTTAAAATCTTTCAATATATCCTTAGGTGAAAAATAGAAGATTTAAAAATGAGGCATGATATTTCTTTATATATATATATACATGTGTAAATATAAAAATACAATTTATATTCACACATAAACTAGAAGTTAAGAAACTAATCATAGAAACAATGAGATTATTAGATAACTACTTTTTGTGCATTCTGAATTTTTGTACATCTCAAATCTTCCCTCCACAAAAAAAAAAAAAAAAAAAAAACTTCAATACTATCAAGTTGATTCATAGGAGTCACCACCAATGGGTTTCCAAGGCTGTAAATCACTATGGAAAACGCTTGCCTCATCTTTCTTCTGCAGAGCAACTGGTGGGTTTGAATTACCAGCGTTATGGTTACCAGTCAAATGTCTTAACAATTATACCACTATAGCTCCTTAAATCTCCAACATGACCAAGATAATTTAGGACAAGGTTTTCAATAACATTTTTTCAATTTATTACTCCTATGTGATTGTAGGAAATTATGTAATATATACATACATACACAATCACACATATAATTTTCTTATTATTTTAATGTGAGCAATAATTGCCTCATATATTTTTTATGATGAAAAATGTAGAACATTTAAAATAGTTCCTGTGCAGAACACTAATGCAAAAATACAATATATTATTATTAGAACATTTTATTGTTAAATATTAGGAAAAACAATAAATATTAATATATAGGTTATTATATGCCATTCCTCCGAAGGAAGGTTGGGCAATCCTACTTCTATAGTGATACTGCGTCGGAAACCCAAGGAGGGGTCCCTATGAGTCGGGGGCAACTCGATGGCACATAA